GTTGAACATTTCCTTAAGTTTTTCTATCAAAAAGAGGTTGCTCAACACAAAGTTTTCTTTTTCAATCTTCCATTGCATTCCAGCCTCTAAGTCAGATTACACCATAGGGAGATAAAGAGTTGCCTATTGTAACATAATTAGCAAAATTTCTAAGCAGATGTACTTTTATAAGTTTTTATACATAGGGTGTCCCCAAAAATGTATACACTTTGAATAATTATAAAGGCAGGTTTTATTAAAATACATCTCATTTTCATTTAATAGCTATTGGCTGTTAAAGTATGTATGCATTTTTGGGGGGATACCCTATATATATATATATATATATGCAATTGTATTGTTTGTGTGGAAAGTAATACAATAATTAATACTAATACAAGAATAAACTGTTTTGCATACTCATAATTGTAAACCTTTCACCTCACCATGTATATTACATAAAAATTGTATGTGTGTGTGTGTATACACATATATACATACATATACATACATATATATATATATGTACATATATATACACACACACCTATCCTACGTATATATGCAAATCAACTGAATGGCTGAACAGCAGAACAACCATCTGGATGACCATCCTTGCTATGACACACACTGGCGCCAGGCCAGCCAAGGCGGGTGCAATGCGATTGGTCGGGGCCGGCCATCGCCCCATGATCGCCCTGCAGAGGGAGGCCCAGGCCACCGACTGGTGGGCTACAGCGGGTGGGCAGGGCCTGGGTGCCAACAGCCAGAGGGAAGCCTGGGTCCTGGGTGCCAGAGGGAAGCTGGTGCCAGCAGCCAGGGGTAGGAAGGCCTACTCTTGCATGAATTTCGTGCATTGGGCCTCTAGTATATATATAAAACTTCTCCATCGTAAAGGTACAGTTTTTCTTCAGTATTACTACGTATCTGTGAGGTGATATCTTGAGACCATGTGGATCTCATGCCCAAAAATTTCACCTAATGACAGAAGTATCAATTGATGAATTACACTGGTTCATTTCTAACTCTACCATTCTTTCCACTGTAAATAGCTGGCTTTTGACTGATTACAAAAAAGCTGCCCCTTTCTTTCTCTCTCTCTTCCTATCTTCTTCCTCCTTATCTTTCTTTATTTTTAAAATGTTTTACTTATTAATTGGTTTGAGAGAGAGAGAGGGAGAGGGAGAGAGGGAGAGAGAAACACTGATTTGTTGTTTCGCTTACTTATGCATTCCTTGGTTGATTCTTGTACGTGCCCTGACTAGGGATTGAACCTGCAACCTTGGCGTATTGGGGTGATGCTCTAACCAACTGAGCTATCTGGCCAGGGCCTGTTTCCTTTCCTTTCCTTCTTATCATTATGGCCTTGTGAATTTTTGAAATGTATTATAATCTATTACTTTCACTATTCTTTGTCATGCTCAAATTTTGTCAGTAAAAGCCTTTTGAAGCCAGTTCCCATTTCCTTTTGATGTGACCCATTGCATTGATCTTTGCTTGCTATCTTGCTCATCTTATACTTCTCCTGCCACATCCCTGAAATCAGCCTTCTTAAAGGAGCCATAGTTGTATTCAAGATGTGGCTACTAGGCCCGTAACTGGTTTGGTTCAATGGATAGAGCATCGGCCTGTGGACTGAAAGGTCCCAGGTTCGATTCCGGTCAAGGGCATGTACCTTGGTTGCGGGCACATCCCCAGTAGGGGGTGTGCAGGAGGCAGCTGATCGATGTTTCTCTCTCATTGATGTTTCTAACTCTCTATCCCTCTCCCTTCCTCTCTGTAAAAAATCAATAAAATATATATTTTTTTAAAAAGTATCAAATTAAAAAAAAAAAGATGTGGCTACTAGGTATGTTGACTGCTACTGCGTGGCCATTGTTTCTCGGCCCCTTCATTATGCATTTACTGACATTTCCAAAACAGATTTAATGTTATAGGGTTTTCCCTTTTGTGTTTAATTACTAACAATATTTTCTCTTTCTACTTATAGTGAACATTTTAAATCCTTAATAATTTAAATGTTTTATTTATTTATCCTACAATACATAAATAGTTTCAGGATTATAATAACAGATTATTAACAAACTTCCTAAGTAAACTGTAAGTATGTTGCCTTTTTTGGTCCTTTGTTTTGTCTAACTTCAAATCCCACTAAGGATGCATAGTCAGAATGCTGTGTTCAAAAGTCATTTGAATTAATTCTTCCCTATGTTCTATTGTCAATTTTATAGTGAAATTGTTTCTGCTTAATTCCATTTTATGGTTTGCATAAAACATTTGCACTGTTCAAAAGTTAAAAAGTTACATTATATTGTATACAAGTTAATAAAAATTATAGCCAGAAGTCCTGCTCCCATCCTCCACCTTCTCCCCTGTTCCCACCTAAGTCAATGGGTATCCATCTGCACTCCTTTTTGGTCTTCCTTCATTTTTTTAAAACTTAGCAAATACATAAACACACATACATATACTCTCTTGCTGCCCTTCTTTCTTACATAAAGTGTTAACAATACACACTTGTATGGAGGAAGCAGCTCTGCCATGATGCCTTGGTATCTTGCATGTATCCACATAGGCCGTTCAGGCAGAGGCCTGAGCCACGGCTTATCTGTCTCGTGACCCTCCCCGAACGAGGGGCTGGCCAGCTTGGGAGGAGCTGCCTCTAAGCCAGCTCCCACTCACCTCCCTATCTCCCCTGGGAGGCTGTTAGGAGACCATTTCTCATCACCTCCTGGTTCTGAGGAGGCTCTTCTCTGCTGCTCTCAGGTTCAGCTACAGACTATACAACTGCTTGGTGGCAGTCTAGAAGAGGCTCCTGCACAAAGGGCATCCCATGCACTGCAGTCATCCAGTCCCTTTTGTTTCAATGTTGTTCTCTTTGGCAAGCGAGGCAAGGACCCGAGGAGCTAGCATCTTTGTCTCCTTGTATGAATCTAAAAATGGCTCATTTTATCTGTACTGGCGAATCAGCTGGGCTTTGGCCTTGCTTTGTCTTGTGTGCTTCACAATTTGCTTGTTTCACTTAACAAAATATCCAAGAAATCTTAGCCTATTAGTTCTTGGTGGCCTTCCTTATTTGTTTTCTTAATCCTCACCCTAGGAGTGAAGATATTTTTTCTACTGATTTTTAGAGAATGTAGAAGAAAAGGTTGGGAGGGAGGGAGGGAGGAATGTAAGGAGGGAGGGGAGAGAGAAACACCCATGTGAGAGAGACATTTCAGTTGGTTGCCTCCAACTCACACCCCGACCAGGGCTGGGAATTGAATCTGCAACTGAGGTACATGCCCTTGACCAGGAATCAGTCCTAGGGTTGATGCTCTAACCTGAACAAACTGGCCAGGGCTGTCCTCATTCTTTATGACTCTGTAACGCATGTGTACCATGGTGTCATCACCTCTCTCCAACTGGATCATTCCAACAGCTTTTTTTATGCCTTTGGACTCTCAACAATTGCTGAAGGACAGAATTATAAAAATGCTAATGCCTTTCCTGTCAAGAGGTCCTACAATATGACTTGACAAATTTCTTCTTAAACCCAATACTCACCCATTTTCCTTGGCCTAGAACCTTCTGGGACAGGCAGGAAGCAGCCGCTGCCACCCTGGAAGGGTGATAATGCACCATGTCGTAGTCGATGAGAGTCAGTTCCATCAAATATTTGGCTAACGTGTGCTGCTCAACATCAACCTACGAAAGAACAGCCAGAGACAGGAAGGAGCACAGTTATTATCTTGCAAATTTCTGGATAGAGGACTAAGCACACAAATCCACTAAACTCATTTTTCCTTCCCAGGAACCATTCTACTCCACAGTATGTCAAACACAGAATGTGAGGACATTTCTCTTAAGAGCTGATGCAATAAGTATTAGGACTTATCTAAAAGATGTATCCTATAAATTCATAAGTTTCACTTTAATTGGATCAATGTTTCTGGGTTGAGACAACAAGCAGCAAAATAAAGTCTCCTACAGAATTGGAGGCACTTACCTCCCCAGCTTTGGATGCCCGCCTTAAAAAATGTAGTGGTAAAGGCCGACCCAACTCAAATTTCAGTTCTTTCAAAATTAGAGCTTCCATTTCTCGGATTTGGGAACTGGTATACGCATTGTCTGTGATGTAAACGAAGTCTTCTATATTTGGAGAAAACATTTCCTCATACTTGGAGGCCAAAAGCAAAGCTGTAATCCCAACCAGTTGAAGCTTCTTACGAGAGACTGGCTGAACCTAATCGGAGAAGAATGTGTCCAAGTCATACCTAACAAGAAGACTGGAAATCTGGGTGGAAGAGAGTGAGAGGGAACCGAGTCCTGGAGATGTGCACATCGACTCTCACATCGGAGGCCTAAATGTTAACAGCCGGTACCACCACTGTTCACAGCAGCTGTCTGTTACTGAGTACTCATGACATGCCAGGCGCAATGCTAAGATTCTAACAATCACCTCATCGAATCAAAAGCCCTATGAAATATGTATTTTCCCCAACATAAAAACAGATGGTCTGATAAGAGATTCAGACATCAGTCCAAGAGGACTCAATTGCTGAGTGGAGAAGAATTATGCATGACAACGAAGCTCCCAGTCACTGCTCCATGCCTGCTGTCCTGGCTGGAGTGCCTAGGGAAGCCCCAACGTGGCACTCCACATGGTCTGAATCAGCACAAGGCCAAGCCAAAAAGCAGGAATTCAACGGCTTCCTGGGGACAAGGAAGGAGATTCTTCAATGTTTCTGTCATCCTCACCAAAAGTATACTCTTTATTCAGTCTGAAGAATCTTTCATAGACGTTTCATAGTCAGTGAAAATCTCAGTCTAGGGTATAAGTGCCCCCCTTAATTCCTTAGAAAAACAAAAACAAATAAAACTGGGACTTTGCTTTTCTTGCTTCAACTCTAATTACTGAAAACTACCAAAAATATAACTGTATAATGTAAATCACTTGAATAATGAAAACCACCATGGTTTCTTAGGATTTTGTGGTATCTTGGGTCGTTAATTATAAACACAGTTATTGTTGTATTGTTTATACTTGACCTAAACCTGTATCATAAACATTGACTTTACATAAATAAATCATATCTGCAAGGCTACTGTTTGGTAGATTACACACTCATGGTTTATGTCTGGAATTTCTTCTAAGTGGTTGGTGTTTTTGAGTTACCAATTGATAAATATTTTGATAATCACTCTGCCTCTCACCTTAATTTCTTACAGTCCTTACTTGAGATTTCATTCTAATACACTCCCCCCACATACCCCAACACTTTTACAAAAAATTCTGCCTCCTCCACTTCTACCATGATTCAATGTCACACCTGGCTGGAAACTTTCAAGTTCTCTAACCAAACTTTTCTTTTCAGAGGAAGCTCACCAAAGAATACTGTACTATGGAAACCGCAAGCAGGCCAGGAAAGCCAGCATCACAGGCCTCACAGGCTTCAGACTGACTGCAGACCATCTGCTGGAACACCTCCTTCAGGAGTGACTGAGGCAATGCCATACTTCCCCCAGCCTGTTCAGC